AATTAGTTAAATTGGAGTCTGCAATATGCTCAATCTTGGCCAATCCCCAACAGTAACAAATAATATACCACCCGCTCGTTCGACTTTGCCTCTTATTCATTTATTTCTCTTCTTTTTTCTATTTGGAGCAGATAGTCACCTTGGAAGACGTGGTTGAGGAGGTTGTCGGCGATTTTTCGATGAAAATGATTCAAAAGTAATGTTTAGTACATCTTTCTCATTTTAGACTTATTCAAAATGCCTTTTATGATTCATATGCGATCAATACATACTTGGACTGTAATAGCTTGTGGATTTTATTCTCAAGTTTCTATGATTTTAAAATTTTCCTTCTACAACAGGAGGAGATCCAGAAGAAAACCGGCTATATTGTAATGCGAGCGGAGGGGATTTTTTATGTAGATGCTAAATACATCTATCTATCAACTTTCTGAAGATCTACAGATCAAGTTGCTTGAAGTAAGCTACTTGTATCATTATATATATATAAATTTTCATGCATAAGATTCCATTCTTCCTGAAAATTTGTGCTTGTATAGTTGCAATGTTCATAATAAGCATTCCAATGTTAAATGGATATCTTCTGTTAATACGAAATATCTATACTAGAGGAAAAGTAACTAACAATTGGAACTCCCCTCACTGTATGGAGAGAGCCAGATCCACGTATAAGGAAGTGTTTGCCAAATACACAGGAACTTTTGTATACATGCATATGTATTTATATGGATTTTCATTTGTGTTCTATAGGAACATCAATATGAGACAGTGTCAGGTTTTGTCTGTGAGGCCTTTGGATATATACCAAGGACAGTGAGAGTATTAAGGTAGTCCTTGAAAAAGGAGAAGAAGATGAGAATACTGAAGCTGGATGATCACCAAGATCTGAAGGAAAGGCATCAAGTTTATAAACTTGAGGTATGGTTTGAACACTTCTTCCGTATTTATATCGCGGAAAATTGCTTTTGACTAATGTATAATCATTCGAGTTCTTTCTAATGTCATTGTTTCTAAATGTCCCTCAAAAGGAGTTCATTTTGCATACATATGAAAAGAATGAGTTGCAACTTATGTCATCCTGATTATGAATAACTAGAAACTCTGAAACATGTACACACCAATTGAAATGTCAAAAACATTTTGTCGTTGGAATTATGATGCACTTTATTCACTATCATATTTTCCTTACGAAATACTGTCATGCTACCTTGGATACTTAAAAGGCGAAAGCACAGAGATCCATCCATCTTTCGTTTCAGACGAATCACTTGAATTTAGATATTCTTTTGAGATATTATTGGGCTGATTGTTGTATTCAATCATGATGATAGTAAACAAGAAAATTCGTTAAACATATACATAGTTTGGGGGAAAAAACTATCATGAAGGAAAAACTGATGAGCAGTTGCTATGGCATCTCTTCTTCACGTATGATGTAGCCTTTTCGAGTTAGTGCTTCTGCATGTGACATACAATCGGTGGCTGTCTTAACAATTGCAAGTGTTCTTTGCATTTCTTTTCTCTTCCCAAATGCGATTTTTTTTTTACATTAGTACATATTTTCTGTCAAGTTTACCATTGATTCGAAATGTTTATGAGGCCAAACTTTATCGACAGCATTACTAACATTTTAAATGTGGGAAACTTGTTCTTGGGGCAGATATTAGCAGGAAAAAGCCCGGAAAGTTAGTGCTGTTCGATTCGAAAGGATAAACGATGAGGAAGCTCTATTAGATACTACGACAGTAACTCCAACAATTCTAAAATCATGAAGAGGAAACGGATAAATGATGAAGACACAAATAATGGTAACCGTAGTGAAGGTGTATCTCGAAAGAGACAAGAGGACGACCTCTCAACTGCTGATCATAATGAGAATAAGGAAGAGTCTTGATGGAATAGTTATATATATATATATAATACTTTGTTTCTCTCATCCCCCCGGCCGAAGACTGCCCTTTCCCCCTTACCATTTTCTTACAGTCCCATAACAAGGTAAAGACTTGAACTGGAGAACGAAACAAAAATGAGAACAGACTAACATTGTATATTTGTTCACAGATGAAGTGAAGTCAACATCTGAATAATTGAAGGTATATGTTTGCAGGACCTTACCCCTCTGCTTTAAGTTCGACAATATCGGAGTTTCTATACCTGACGTCGATTATGCATGCTAGTTTCACCGTGTACAAATCCTTGGAGAGGTGGTCTAGGCTGAAGGATCAATTCGGAATGGAAAACGATTGAGATGCTTCATTCAGCGTGCCTGATTGATCCTCTCCACTTCAGGCAACAACCGTGAAACCTCTCTTTCCTGCCTCAATTCCTTCGCCCGCTGCAACTGTCTGAACCTCTCTTGCAAGAGAGCAATGGAAGAATGAACAGCAGGATCATTCTGGCTTCCCATCACCAGAGCCTATCATTGTACCGAGGAGAATGCTCATAAGGTGATCTGAGGTTGCTATATTCTTATATAGGACATTTATAAGCTTTGAAATCGTTAACCCTTTGAAAGCCGCTTTAGTTGATTCTCAAAGGTAGAATCAGCCGCCGAGATGCAAAGTCCAAGCAGGCATAGTTATGTTGAGGTAAAATAGATGATAGGAAGAAAAGGGTCTGAAAAAAAGTCCAAACTGAGATGGAATGTAGCATTTGAAGTGTTTCTTTTTGCAGAATAAAAGGATGGATGATTCTCTGTCGGCTTGTTGCCAAGAGCTATTGTCCTTTCAAGAAAGATGGTGCCCCTTTTTTAGGGGGATACTTGTATTATTTTCACTTTCAACATTCTATCTTCTTCACTTTTGTTGATCACACTAAGTTTAAGTTTGAATTTCAGTATCTGTAATCCGTTTCTTCGTATCCGGACTGCTTTTTTTCTCTTGATATTTTGTGTTTTGTCATGAAGTTGTTGGATAAATGGCGTGGAAGAAGAAAGGGTATAGTTAGTGGATTCTTTCAATGGGGCTGTTGTTGTTGGAACACTAATGTCTTTGAACTTAATTGTTGGAAGAGTGGGCACAACCTCAAAAGCCGCCTACCCTCCCCCCAGATATCTCTGGAATTTTGGCTATCTATCTCTTTGCCATTTAGCCTTGAGCAAAATCATGGAAAGGTTGAATTTGGGTGTGCAACTTATTCCTTTTGGAGCTTTTCTTAGACATCAAATATCATAATGATAGTGTTGGCAAACTGTATATATTTAGGGATCATCTATACTATGAAAGTTTTAAATTATTATATATGTTAGATATTTTATTTTTGTCTTTTCTAAAATTTTATAAGTTCTTCTTTATAATTTTAATTTATATTTCCAACAAATCCCACGATCCTCCCTAAATTAATTCTAGAATCTAATGTAAACCAAAATTCATTTTAATTAAAGCCTGTTATCATTGTATTTCTTCATTGTTATTAAAGAATTTGGCATTGTATTTATTTCATATTTATTTGAGGTTAAAAAGACGGGAGATGGTGATTGGAAGCATAGGTGGCAACATCATTATGGCAATTGACCGGGCTATTGATAGTCTCAAAGTGGAGAATTACAAGCAAAAGCTACCAATTAATTTCCCAAAACCTGGAGGAATAATAACTCATTTTATTTCTTCATTGTTATTAAAGAATTTGGCATTGTATTATTTATGTTCATATTTATTTGAGGTTAAAAAAGACTGGGAGATGGTGATTGGAAGCATAGGTGGCAACATCATTATGGCAATTGAGGCCGGGCTATTGATAGTCTCAAAGTGGAGAATTACAAGCAAAAGCTACCAATTAATTTCCCAAAACCTGGAGGAATAATAACTCATTGCTTTTGGATTTAGTCTGTCTTCAAATGTGAACATTACTTTTAATTATCATCCCAACATTAAAAGATGATCTTAAAGCTTTTTCTCCCCTTAAAGTTATTGTTAGCAAAAACCTATAGATAAATTCTAAAATGGGAGTTGTGCTTTGGAAATATAGGTCTCAATGATCGTTGGGCCAAAGTTCTGCAAATTTCAAGCATATGAAAACATCCAACTTGTGCACAAAGGATACCAGTGCAATGATGCATGTTATAAGCATGTAAGAAAAGAAAAGAAATATTAAACATTTAGCAAGGAAAAGAAATGATTGCAGGAATCCAAAAGGATAGGCAATATTTATATGATGTGCAGAAGGGTTGAACTGTAAATGGAGAGTGTAGCATTTCATAAAATGTAAAGCAAAAAAGGAAAATCCTTGCAAGTATCAACCGGATAACTTCAACATGTTTCTGGAATTCTCCTCTTGATTAGTCAGTATGTTAGCCTGCATCAAAATCGACATATCATGAGAAAGCGTAAAACTTATTGTCAAAGCAACACAATGCATAGTATGACAGACAGCTAGAAAGAAAATAAAGAACATTTTAGTTTTGCTGCATGAAGAATATCCAGATATGCATTGTACTTGCGTGGTAGACACGAGAACTTCAAGAAAAACCAAGAGTGAAACTGTGGAAGTGGCATGGAATAATTCTATTAAGGGCATACTACCCATGCAACATGTTACATGCACAGGGGAAGTGTCGGTTTATAAAAAGTAACTGACCTTAAATTTTGAAGGTTGTTTCGAGTTCATTCACCTTGTTTGTCACCAGTAGTTAGTATAATCTCCCATCTGCATGCCTTGGACTAGAAGAAACTGTTGCAATTTCTTTTTTGCAACATAAACTCTATAAAAATACTTTTAAGTGCACAACAAGCAAACCAACCGTCTTAAAATTAGCAAGGTACCAGAGCCAGTTACCATAGACTGTAGAAAGTTATACTCTGAATCACTCCGGAACCTTACTTTCAGATTTCCTTTATCACAGCAAGGTTTATGGTAAATTGTAGTCTCAGTATCATTTCAAAACCTCGGAGTACTGTCAGAGAGCTATGATGGTAGACAGTTTGAAGTGGATGGACAGGGTACCAATTTGCTGTGTATGTGGCAGCAAATCTGAAGATTTCGTTGATAATGTAAGCTTAGTAATGCATGCCTTTACATCTCGGCGGCATAGAGTAGAGCACTTGGGTTTGCACAAAGCGCTTTGTCTTTTGATGGGATGGGACTCGATGACTGTTTCTAATTGTTTATGGACCCCGAAGGCGTTGGCCTGCGCTGAAGTCTTGGCTATGAAAGAGGATCTTGTTGTTTGGCCTCCGGTTGTCATCTTGCATAACAGTTCTATTGGTACAACTATTTCTGATGACCGAATTATAGTAAGTATCGAGGAGATTGAGGCATTTCTCAGAGGTAAGTTATAAGCTTTACAATGATAGTAGCTGTTGGTATTGCTATTTGATTCAAGAGGTCAACTAAGACTTGATAACAATGCAAGTCTTTGCCACTATACCAGTGGCTTAAATTGATTCCGGGATCACTTTGTTTTAGTGATATTTAAAATAGTCATTTTGACAATGAAGTTCATGTGGTTTCCACTCGGTCCTCATTGACAAAATTGCATCTTTACATCGCATCTCTTATTAACTATTGTCTTTTCAAATATTTCTTAAAATTTTTGTTTGGACTTTGTTCCAGCTTTATTCTTGCAACATATGCATCATTTCCCTTGTTTTGAATCATGGTAGAAACATATATTCAGATTTTTAACTTTTCCACTATGATTTTATGTTGGGATGACCTCTCCTTCAAAACACACTTGAACTGGTCCTTCCCTTCACAATGTACTGGTTTTCTTTCCCCTCTGTTTCTTGCCTTTGTTCAATTGCAGGTATGGGGTTTGGCCGGGGGATATCGAAGGTCTGTTGTGGGAAACCTGCGAATTGGAGTATTATGGTAGTGATCTTCCATGGAACCATTTCAGGGCTACAAGATGCAGAGAGACTCCATAACATGTATGCCGAGAACAAGCATGGGAGGGCTGAGTTCATGCGAGTCGATTGCCACAGCGGAGAAACGAAGAAAACGCCACTAAACAAGGTTGAAGACGTGCTATACGGCTATCTGGGAGTCGCAGGTGACATGGATAAACTCGATTTCGAGACAAAAAGTCATTCGGTAGTCAAAAGCAAGAAGGAAATCTATAGCATTGCTGATCAATGGGAATAACAATAGTTCCAGGCCTACTAACTCATGTTTTGTTAATGGAAACTATAACTTCATCGTCTTTTCTTCACCACTGAATAGGTTATGGTTTTCTCTTTGGAAAATGGAATATGTTTGTTTTTGCTTCCACTTTTGTTGAGAAAATGACAGATTCAGCAATATGATGTAGGGTTTCAAAAAATTTATACTAGTTCCGGCCCACTGCTGGAAAAAGCATTCATCAGTTGGAACCAATGAACCAAGTGGAAATGGTCCCTTCGGGGTTTTCTTTAGGAAAACCAAGAACCGGTGGCGCGGCCGAATTCTCTGATCCAGTGACAAGCTCAAATACATAGGGTATTTTGTCAAAGAATGCACCTCATTATTCAGTTCATTGACTAAGTACAGGTACTTAGGCTTTAGATTGTCCTCCAGAGACAGATAAGACCTAGAAACAAATGAAATTGTAAGAGAGGAAACAAGTTTCTGTCTTCTCATGCAGGTACAAGGGAACTAACCTGTGTAAGACTAGTCAAGACTTTCAAGATATTGGAATTATGCATTCCGATGCTCCTAAGGAAGTTTAACCTGGGTAGTAATCTTTCATCAATGCTGTAGTGGAGAAACTGGGGATGTTTCTTTACCATCTTCACAACACTATCTCTGGGTGCTCCAAACTCCTTGGAGAGAACATATAGCACGTATTCCATGATATGTCAATCCGTTGAATTAGAATCTGAGGGCTCAACTGCACAACTTTAACTTTACCTAAATCATGTTCATTAATACCAACCTCCTCGATCAAGTATCTCACTGTTGGTTTTACCGAATTTTCAACTCTGTATGAAAACAGAGAAGGAGCACGAGCAATTATCTGCCCTATCCTACAATTTGGAATCCCTAGACCCATTAGAAAAGCCACATGGGACTTCAAGTTGTTCTCCACTGTGTATTCTAGAATTTATGATAGTCTCAAAAGTATTCTCCTAACGTCTCTTTGTTTCACACCAACGCTCAACAAGTAGTCCAATCTTTCCCGAGTTGAACACACATTGATTTGAAGAGAAGGCGTGTGTCTCTCGTACATTTGGACAAAGTGTGAATCTTTAAGCCCAAAAGTACTTAGATAATCAAGAAGAGGAAACCATTTCTCATCCAAGTCAATTTCATCAGACAGCCGTTGATATCTACTTTCTTTAGATATTTTTGATACCATCTGCAATATAGAAAGCAAATAAAGCTCCTTTATACCAATTGGTATGGAAAATAGCAAAAGTTGACAGCTTATCTTACCTTTCTTCCTTCATCTACACCTAATGAACCAGCTTCCTTCATTTTGTTAGATGTATGATAAAATCTCCAACATTATTCCTCCTTAGATCATCATTACCATGTTCAAAAGCGATAATCCCTTTTCTTGATTTTAACACTTTCGATCCCTTGCGTTGTTCTTCCGTCCTTGGTTTCCTGCACAAACAAATGAATTGTTAAAACGCCTCAAAAACCAATGTCAAATCTTGTGACGAATTCACATGCATACCTTCTTTACCACTTCCCTTGTGCGATTTAACTTTCTTCCAGTTAATGAAGTATTCATGAGGTTGAGCAAAATCATCCTGAAATAAAACATCCATTTCAGACCAGAAGCGGTTTCATATTCACTAAAACATAAGCTAATCGTTCAATTATTTCAAATCAAAGCACAAAATCTAAGCCAAATAATATCTAACATCAATATAAATGCAGTGGAAACATAATGATGGGTCATTTTCTTCAATCCTTCATATCATGTAGTAATAACATGTTTTATTACAAAGATTGCATCTTGAATAAAAAAAAACATAATTTTAGTTTAGACCAAATATAACTTCGCAGAAATTAAACATATAAGAGTAAAAGAATATACTGAAAACCATGAAACAGTTATCACCTTAAGTCTAAAGAACATCAAACCATATACCAAATCAAATATCAAATTACAAATATTCATCTTAAGTGGCCAATTACACATATTTCTAACTACAGTCACAGTTTTTGCACATGAAACAATTATCACCTTAAGTCTAAAGAACATCAAACCATATACCAAACCAAATATCAAATTACAAATATTCATCTTAAGTGGCCAATTACACATATTTCTATCTACAGTTTCTACACACTTTTTGCACCAATTAAGCATAATAACATATTAAAAATTGCAGCTTTTTTAATTATGGGAAAATGATAGTAAAGTGAACTTACATTCATCAACCAATCGTCTCCAACCATGCCATCATCCTTTTCACCAAATTCTTCATCCACATCTTCCTCCTCATCAGTGTCATAAGGAGTAATCCTTTGACCAAATCTTGACTTCTTATTAGACTTTAGAATCTTGGGATTTGAGTGAGTTGATAAAACACCAAGAACTTCCCTTTCTTGAAGCTAACTCCATTCTCCAAGCAAGGCTCAAATTCCAAGAAGAAGGACAGAAGAGAATAGAACCGAAACGATGACGATTGAAATTATGAGAGTTAAAGCTGCCATTTTGGGGAAAAGAGAGAGAAAGAGAGAGAGAGAGAATATGCTTAACAAAAGAATATACCGAAAAACCCTAGAAAATAGATGAGAGTGTGTACTGCAAAAGTTTTATCTTGTAGCTATGGCTGTCAATGAAATGTGGGGTTTTACCGGTGTTTCTTTGTCGCGGGAGGTTTGATAACAGTGGCTCCTTGTTAATCCATGCGGCGACAGTTTAGTTTATGCTCTTCTCCACGTTCACCCTTATCGCAGGATGGGTGTAGTTCAGAGCGAAATATTTGAAGAAAGCAAGCCTGAGTCACATGCCCTACTCTCTATTTTAAGTTAGATGGCTTGTGAAGTGCCATGTCTCTTTCTCCCAAGTCGACGGGCATTTCTCCGATCAGCTCATCTGGTTATCGAGCTAAGAGAAGAAAGAAGGGACGGGCCTGTTTCCGCATACGCGGACACCATTCGGGGTGTTTTTTTTGAAAAATAACCGGTGATCGATATATTTATCAATATAACATCGGTTAGATTATATTTTTTGATCTAACCTCTGTAGCAGTAAAGCGTATTCCTACCTCGAGTTATATGTTGATTTGACGTCACGTGGGGTACAATGCGCCCTCTGTACCACGCTATACGTTGACATGGGTTACACGTGTATATCGCGCCCCCTGATCCGCGCTCCCCTGATCCGCGCTATACGCCACGTAGGGTATAACGCGGATCAGGGACCGCGCTATACGCCGTACCGAAATTATATTTAACGCGGTTCCTGGTTCGCGCTATATCTTTTATGAATAATTGCATATAGCGCGGTGCAGATACCGCGTCTTATATGGTTATAAATACCTTCCTCCGCCGGTTAAGTTTCTCACATCTCCTGACATCTCTCTTCTCAACTTATAAATTAATGCAACAATTCCGTCAACGAGTAATAATTCAAGCAATCTTCTCATATTTGATTTAGAAGTTCGTGCGATTTTTCGTTATAAGATAATTTTGTTATAATTTTTTAATTATACTTATTGTTTATTATTATTATTTGAAAAAATATTATACGAATTATTTTCAATTAATTTTTATGTTTGTAAATGGAAAAGCGGGAGCATACGTCGAAATAGTTTTGCAGTGCAAGTAATAATATAATATTATTATTTAAATTATTTACGTTGATGTGTAAAAAATTTATTGTGTTATATTTTCGTTCATATATAATTTATTTAATCAGGTTTGTTTCAGTTATTTTTTTTGCAGATATAATATTGCCGCACTTTTAAACTCAAAAAATGGTGCGACTTTCAGCTATTGTTTATTATGATGGTGAAATTCGAGAAGATAAAACCTGCGTTGTTTTCGTATCAAATGAGCGTGTTAAAATATCATTCAAGAGAAACATAACTCTTGAGGAGCTGATAACGAAGATTTCGATGAAGATTTATGTTGGAAGTAGTGGAAGAATGTGGTCGTTGCAGTACAGATTTCCAACATCATTGTTGCCATTAACTTATACAGCGTTCGAACTTTCGAACAATGATGATGTTCAAATGATGGTTGAAGTTCAAAGTAATTATTCAGACGCCGCTATTGAGATGTATGCACATTTTGTTCAAGTGCATGCTGTTCGGTGTCAATCATTAAGCTCCCACTATGGGCTGGCTGAACAAGTTGATCAAGTTGACAGCCCGACTACAGTAATGTGTAATGATTTTAATGCCATAATGGGGAGATATTCATCCGCAACTCCTTACGATATGTACCGAGGTGGGTCCACGAACAATCCGTATGGCAACACCGCGTCCAGTTCAAGGGGAAGACATTCATCTGCAAATTTCTTTGACCTTAATATGGAGATGTCATTGGGCACAACAATCTGTGCAGTTTCCATTTGACACGATGGCTTCAAGCTCCAGGGGAGGCATTCGACTGCGAGCTTTTTCGATCTCAATGTCGATATGCCTTCTAGTTCAAGGGGAAGATATGCAAGTAGTAGGTTCTTCGACCTAAATGTGGAGCGCATGGAGGAACCATCATATCCACCAGAAGAACCGCTTCGTGAGCCAGGTGCAGATGGTGCTGAGACTGGACTATTCATTCACCCAGAATCACCGCAATTCAACTCCGATGATGATGATGTAGATGAAGTTCCAGGAAATGTGACACAAACTGACCCTCCTGCACACATGTATGAAGCTGATTATGGTACAATGTACAGGCCAGAATTTGCGGATATGCCTCATCTCGGTGACTATGGATATTACTCATCAATAAATAATAGTGAGTTATCTTTAGGCATGGAGTTTTCAAGCAAAGAAGAAGCGATGATGGCTATCAAAAATTACAATATCCATAATTCTGTTCAGTCCAGAGTCAACCGATCGACGATAAAAAAATATGTATGCTATTGTGCCCGACGCGAAAACGGATGCAATTGGATGGTTCACGTATCGAAAATAAAGAAAAACAACATATGGGAACTAACAGTATACAACGGTCCTCACACATGTGCTGGAGGG